AGACTACGTCAAGCCACCAGTGAAGACCACTCCTCCTAGTAATTCTCCTCAAGGCAGCACGTGAGGAAGACTTCTCCCATTTTCTGCTGCCACTTCCCAATATTTTCTCAACCACTCCAGCAAAGCCCAAGAAGCAAAGACCAAGGCACCAACCCATTGGAAGCTCTATAAATAGGACCAGCTCAGGAGAACTCAGGACAGACTTCATTATCCAAATTTCCTGCGGAAGCTCTGCCGAATTACCTTACCACCAGAATTATTATTCCAGCATTTGTTTTACTTTCTGTCTTATTTTATTTGTATCCAAACCAACCGTGTAACAATTTCCAACATTAGGGAATTGTTATACTTTTATTTGTTTCCAGCCTTCAGCATTCGTTTTAATTTTTATTTCCGCCTACTCCAAGCTTTCCGATCTGTGGAAGAAGGAGTCTACTCAGATATTTGTTAATCAGGTTTTTAAGTTATTGCAATTTAATTTATTTATAATGTCTGTTTATTTTTCTGCCATTAGTAAGTCAATAATTAACTCTGAGTCTGATTTAACCTCGATGAGTAGCTAAATACCTTAGGGCGGTATGTAGTTATAACTAACTTAACCGGTAAAATATAACCATGGGCTAAAATAATTAATCGCTTAACATTCTGGCTGATGCTTTTTTATTGAATTCGACCTTTTCGTTACGAGAGTAAGAAAAGGGTATTAGGTTGGGTCAAGACCACGAGAGTGTGAGATTTTAACCAGATAGCTAAAGTTAGGCATTTAAATTAAATACAGCGAGAGCGCTTTAAGATAAATTAGAATTATTTAGTTTCCAAAAATTACCTCTAAACACTTATGGGCTAGCGAGAGCAGGCATAGGGCTTTAGGGATAAGATCTGATTCAAGACCACGAGAGTGTGAGTTGAGGGTATTCAAACTAGTAATCTCTACCGAATAGATTAAGTGAACATCTTTATAAGCCTAGGTTAGATTGACCCACCTAAGTTGGTATAATTACATACCGACCGTTTTAGTATTATTTTATTAAAAACTTAAATTTAATTCCGCCTTCAATAGTCTTAGAAAACCAACAACAATCGTGACAACTATTCGCCTTAGCTAAACTAGAAGTTCATCTAGCACTAAGTAACGATAGAATCCCTGTGGATCGATAATCTTAAATATTACTTCGATAGGCTGTGCACTTGCAGTAAGATACCGCTAGACGCATAAGTAGACACGTCTGTAGCCCATCAATATCCTAGGAAAAAACTCTCAATTCTGTCTTTCCAGTAGTCAAATTTCTCCCCATCAAACATTGGGGGTTTGGTGCTGATCCTATCCCTTTCTTCATATTTATTGTTAATATTGGACATTGAATTATCAGCCATGGTAACAAATAAATATATATCAAAGTATTTCTCTCTGGATCTTTACTGACACTGTTAAGTGGTAGCACACTCAAAACCGGAGCTCTGATGCCAACTGAAGGTGAGAAAATACTTAGAGGGGGGTTGAATAAGTATGAAAGATTAAAACTTAAAAATAATCACACAGTTATTTTTATCCTGGTTCGTTTAAACAACTACTCCAGTCCACCCTTCCTAGAGTGATTTACCTTTCTCAACAAGGACTTAATCCACTATTAAATCAAACTGATTACAATAGTAACACCTAAGAACAACTTGTTCTTAGTCTTCTCAAGAGCTACTGATTCCAACTGAATCCTCTTAAGGAAAAACCTTTACAATCAATGTAAATTAAATACAAGAGTATTAATGCTTCTATAAAGCTTTTATCACAAAAATGATTTTTCTCTTAAGTTTAAGTACAAAAGATTCTAAGAAGAATATGAGATAATGAGAGCTTAGAATGATATAATTTCTTTTCAGCAAATTGTGTAACTGAAGAATGTGGTGGAGTTCTCCTTTTATAGGCAGCTGATCCAAGGATGTTGAGCGTTGAAAAGAGAGTCCCAAAAAGGTCTGAACCTTTTTGTTTTTACATCAAGTGACCTTTCCTAGAAGTAGATAACACAGAAAAATCCTTTTTTTCTGTGTAATTGTGTCTAGCACAAAAGAGGAAAGAGACGTTGATTTTCTCCAACGGATATATTCTTGAAAATTTCTTCTTCAGTTTTCAGCAAGTTCTTCAGAGTCTGAATGGATCAGAGTCTTCTACTGATATTCAGAACTTTGCTGTATCAGAGTCTTCTGCAGCATGAGTGTTTTCAGCGTGTTGATCATCAGAGCATATTTGACACAGAACTTCAGTACAAGGCAGCGTTGGTACTTTCAGAAACTTCTGTAGAATTATGCTTTGAGAAACTCTTCAAACAATATTCTTCTTTGCTTCAGATGCTTCAGCTTCAGATGCTTCTGATTATCTTCAGATGCTTCTGACTCAGAATGTTCTGGAGCTTCTTGCTTCAGATCCTTCTGGAGACTACGCTCAGGATCTTCTGTAAAGAGCAATCAGATTCTTCTGTAAGATGCATCTGACGCTTCAGAGTCAGGATAACTTCTTGTATACAACATATTTGCTTCTAGAGAGTTAATTTCATTTCAATCTGCAGTAAAACTCTCAAACAAATTTTAAAGTATATAATTCTTAGATATAAAATTTCCTAACAGTTATCATCAAAACAAAGAGTTATTATTAAGAACCAATCTGTGTTCTAACATCTTCTATATGTAACATAGAGAAAAATTATGATCTTGCCAATCTCTTGAAGGTAACAAAACTGATAATATGGGATGAGGCGCCAATGGAAAATAAATTTTATTTTGAAGCTCTTGATAAGTCATTGAAGGATATTATGAGTGATGACGCTGTTGAGTGTCAGCAGATTTTCGGAGGAAAAGTTGTAATTTTTGGTGGAGATTTCAGACAAATTCTACCAGTTGTTCCAAGAGGTACTAGATCAGATATTGTACATGCAACAATAAATGCCTCTTACATTTGGGATCATTGCAAAGTTATGAATCTAACCAAAAATATGCATTTTCGAAGTGGTTCTAATTTAGGCAATTCAGAAGAAATTAGACTCTTCTCAGATTGAATTTTACAAGTTGGTAATGGAAAGGTCTCAGAACCCAACGATGGATATGCTGAAATTGATATTCCTGAAGAGTTACTTATAAGAGAATTTGTGGACCCAATTGAAGCAATTGTTTCAAGTACCTATCCAAATCTGCTTCAAAATTACACGGATCCAAAATTTCTTCAGTGTAGATCTATTCTAGCATCAACTTTTGAAATAGTTGATGACATAAATGACTTCATAACTAACCTTATTCTAGGTATACTTCATTTTCTGTTATAACTATATTTTCATATTTTTTTCATACAATGTGTCTTTGGATGTACATATGTATATATTATTTTGATATGTACATACTACTATATTATTTTTTCATACTATTTTTTATACATACCTGTTATTCTGTTTTATATATATATATATATATATATATATATATATATATATATATATATATATATATATATATAATTTTGATTTCATGTAGGTGAATCTAAAGAATATTTGAGTTGTGATTCCATTGATAGATCAGAAGCTAATGACAATTATGCTTTCGAGCATTTGACATCGGAATTTTTTAGTTGTCTGAAAACTTCCGGTTTGCCTAACCACTCATTGAAATTGAAGGTTGGTACAATCATCATGTTGATAAGGAATTTGGATCAATCTGAAGGCCTTTGTAATGGTACAAGGTTAACAGTTACGAAGTTAGGCAATCATGTCATTGAAGCAATGATAATTTCAAGTACAAATATTGGAAACAATATTTATATCCCGAGAATGTCTTTGTCTCCTTCCCAATCTCCATGGTCATTTAAACTTATCAGAAGACAATTCCCAATTATAGTGTCATTTGCTATGACAATCAACAAATCTCAAGGACAATCGTTGGAGTATGTTGGATTATATTTGCCAAAGAATGTTTTCAGTCATGGACAACTTTATGTTGCCATTTCAAGGGTTAAGAGTAAAGCTGGATTGAAAGTTTTAATACACGACAAAGACAACAACTACTTAACTCAAACAACAAATATTGTCTTCAAAGTTTTCCACAATGCCATATAGGTACATATTTAGTTTTTGAATAACATTATTTTTTCTTACTATCAATACTAAAATCTTCATCTCTATATTTAGCTTTCAAGTAAAATAATTTGATACTCAAATTTATATTTCACTTCATGTTTATATAATTCATTCTTTCGACATCTCATATTTTCTTAGATAGTTCTTATATTTCATTAATTATTGATTTTATTTTATATTTGTAGGTTTTGTAATCCCCACTCTTACTTCATACAAGTCTTATTACATCATTTCAATCTAGAATGTTATTTGCACTTTGTTTCTAAACTTCTTTTGTTGGACATACTATATTTCAGATATTGAAAGTTATTGTATTTTTATGACATTGAATATATTCACTATTATGAAATTATTATAAAATTTAAGAATGAATTAACCCATGCTTCCGCACAGGTCTAGGACTAGTAAATCTATCAAATTGTTCAAATAAAAGATTAAATTCAAATACACTTGATTAGACATCTTACTTTTAATTTAGAAATGTGTGTGTTAGAAATTTTAACTTAACAAAGTATAAAAATTTGAGAAATACTTTTTCAGTTCAGTAAAAATAAATATCTACTAGTACTAAAACATTAATTTAAGCCATAGAGGAATATCTTTTTAAATCAATAAATATAAATTCATGTGCATAATTTAGAAGAATAACACTTCATAATACAAAACTTACATTACATTGTTGAATAGGAAATGCAAATATCTATGCAACAAAAGGAATAAGCTTCCAAAAAATCTAAAGCAAACAAAAGGATCATTTGCATTGTTCAAAGAAATAAGTTCAAAGATTGAAATGCATGATATCTGCCAATTATCTACTCTTTTGCTATAAGTAGCAAGTTGAAGTTCTCACTCATAATCAATATGTTTATCAACCTGAAGCAAACATCTCTAAAGCTTGACCTCGACATCAACACCAGCAGGAAGATCAAGTAGCATAAGAGAATCTATTGTTTGAGCGGTAGGATAGAGAATATCAATGACACGCTGATGAGTTCTGATCTCGAAATGGAACCGAGCATCTTTGTGTACGTGTGCAGATTTGAGAAGACAAAAAACTTTCCTCTTGGTTGGTAAAGGAACAGGACCCATTGTTTTTGCATTGGTAGTTCTTGCTGCATTCAATATCTGCTTGCAAGAATCCTCTATCAAGGGCACAAAGTAAGATCTAAGCTTGATTCTGATTTTTTGCTTTGGTGCCATCTGCAAAAGTGATGAAATATTATCAGATGACAGGATTTTCTGTGAATCCATCATTGTAACTGTGTTATAATAATAACTGCAAATTACTCGATTTTTATGACATTAGCATAAAACTTATTACACCGACAACATGTGTTCCTTTTTCTCATTTATATTGGATTTATGAAAAATACATAATGGGAAAAGCAAATAAATATTAACCAACAACTGAATATAATAAACCGATCCATCAACATACCATGTCTGCATCAGCTCCAACGCTAATTGATGAAGTGCTTGGAGTCTCCAACTCATCAACCTAAAATACCAAGACATTTCATCACAAAGGATACGAACTAAGTTCAAAAGATTGAGGAAAAAGGAAGAAGCAGGCCAATCTAAACCATAACAATGCTAAAGTTAAAGCAATTCATCTTCACTAATCAACCTTAATAACCAACCTATCAAATCCAAAAAAATTGAATAGGTTAAAGCATCCAAAAAAATTGAATAGGCAGGCACTTCCATAAACAACTATCACTATCCCCTTCTCTGTCTCCAACAGCCCGGAAACCTAAGCAATGTGGGATTTTAAACAAACTCCAACGACACAAAATACCAACTTTAACACCCACCCTCTGGCCTAGCGCGAGCCTGGTTCAAATGCCCACGTTGGGTCCTTAACCCGGCTTTGATACCATGTTAAATATGCTGCTAGCTCAAAGTGTGAGGTTTCCCTCACATATTTATACAATCAACAATCCAGGAACCTATGCAATGTGGGACTTCAAACAAACTCCAACAACACAAATTCCAACTTCAACACATTCCAACTTTAACATATTCCAACTTCAACACAGTTAATACATTTTATAGACATAATTAACCAAGCTAAGAGAAAACTTCAAAGTATTCATTACCAATGTAACAAATTGAAGGTGAGTTCAGTGTCTGACACGAGTCGATGTTAGACACTCTGATGACTTTAACTCACTTGGTTACATCTAATCACTTCCATCTTCTTAGTTTATATTTGGTTCCGTTCAAAATTGATTTCAATTTGAAACTATAATTTGAAGTTTTTGGTTCTATTGATTTTTAGCTTCAAACTACTCACTAATTACACTGAAACAAAAATCACATTCCATTCCACTTAATTTTAGTGTATCTTCCGTTTTATTTTGGAACACTCAAAATTGATTCTGGGAGGGTATAATTGATTTTGACATGTTTGATTATGCTTTCTAGAATTGATTATATAGGATTTGTAGCTCTGTATTTTCTACACTGAAATTTAGAGTTAGAAATTTATCCAAACATAAATCACTATCGTCAAATCACTTTTACTTGAAATCAATTTTATAGAATCAATTCACACAAATAAGTTTTCTTCGCTGCAGAACTAATTTCCTAAATTCAATTAATTCGAACTCAAATTTCATCACTACTTAAATTATCATCAAAATTCATTACTAAATGAACATGAACAAAAATGAAAGAAAAAAAAAGGCAAAAAAGAAAATTCATAAACCTGAACGCCACTGTCAACAGACTCAACATCTTTGGTTTCAGCGGAATTCAATACTTCCGGAGCAGCATGAACCACCGTTGATGAATGAAGAGGCTTTGAATTCGTAAACCTCAAACTGTTACTGGAGAGAAAGCATAGAGATTGGAGCTTTGGTTTGGAGGAGAGAGAAAGAGAAGGAACAAACGTGGTAGAGAGAGAAGAAACCGCCATTGAATTGAAACCTCTTCTTCACTATTCTCTTTCTTCACAATCTGAAGCGAAAGATTGTGCAGCAAATTAGAATTATCCTTAGCTTTATTTTATTTTCTATTTTTTCATTTGTTTTTCAGATTTGGGCCTCTAGGCCCATAACTTAGCGATATAGGTTTGGGCATGGCTATCTCTAAAGAATTTTTCATAACACATGATACTTTAACCTGACACCCCACAATTTTCAATAATATCTCGGTATGCATTTATATTAGTTTAAAAAACGGTGTGTGAAAAAACTTATCGGTTTTTTTAAAAAACACCATGTTGTTTCCAATATTTTGCAAACTTTGAAAATTTAGATAATATAAAATCAACAGATTTTTTAAAAACATCATGCATTTACCGGACTTTTAGAGGCGCTTAAAAAAATGTGATAATGTAATTTTTAACGATTGAAATTTTGCCGACAATTTTGCATTGCTATGATTGCTCTGACATTTGTGTTTGATCTAGAATGTCAAACTTGTATAAATAGGGATCATGTTTTGTCAAAAAAATATTTTAAAATGCCTCATTATTCGTTTATGGCATGTGTGTACTTCAACGGTGTGATACCTCATATTGATTTGGGGCTCCCGGAGGACACCACATCTCTCGCTCTTCTGAGATCTAAATTGAATAATATGTTGCCTGAAACCGAGAAGAGAAAGGTGAGTAAGATCGAGTTTCGTGCAAAATGAATTGATATTAGTGGAAATGTGAAATACAACCATATTAAGCTGAAGACTAATGAAGATTTAAAGGTTATGTGGAGAATATATCATTGTAGGCTATCAAAGGGACTGATTGAGTTTGATGCGACAATTTATAAATTTGTTGACGACATAATCAAGATGTTGAAACGTCCATAATCATCTAGTAGTGTCTAAGTTTTGTTATTTATTATTGTTTTGTTAAGTTATGTAATCGTCGAGCTAAAGTTATGTTGATCGTCATTATTATGCTATTTGTTAAATGTTAAGTTATGTTCATCCTGCAATAATCAAAGCGACAAAATATTATCTAATAAAATGTCCACAAACCATCTATTAATGCCCTCAGGTGGAACAGCAGGGACTAGTCATGGGATGTCCTGGACATACCCAAACTGGCGCAGACACCTCCCAGAAAAGTGTCTAACCACTAAGGTCTTCTATCGTAGATAACCAGAAAAAAGTGAATTTTCATCGAACTCTTGATTCACTTTATGGTCTGCATAGGGTGTCCAAATGACATTGTCGTTAGTCAGCGCATTAATCCTCCTTCTGTACTCCAGAACACCGTCTGGGTGTGAATGCTAGGACTTCTATCTCATGGCCCTATGGAGCCAGCAGTGGTATAAATAACCCTCATGTCACAAATGGACGGTAAATGCTTGTATATCCAACACTGTACAAAAACATATGAAAATCAATAAATGTCAAAATAAGAACTAAATTAATAAGAAATAATAAATTTTATACCTTAAATAAATTCATATAACTACCATGTAGCCTAGTCTCAAAGACAATCCTCTCTCTAAGTGCAGAATATAGAACAGTTAGTGCAACACACCATCATGTCAATGTGACATGGTCAAGGTTACTAAACAAGCACATGTACTTCGCATCTATTTATACATGAGACTTATCCACTAACATAGTACATCCTACAAGATGTGGCATGTATACCCCAGCGGCTATCTCATACATAGACTGCTGCACCAGATCAGCATACCTCTTCCGAAGCCAAGATAGGTGAAAGTGAACACACTTGTTAGCCTTAAACTCCTCTAACACATGCTCATTGATAACCCCAAGTCCTATATAACACAAATACATGCTAGCTACTGGCTAATGAGAGGAGTGGTTAAAAAACTACCTGGTAGGGTAAGATGGAACATAGAGGAGGCATCATCCAAGGTAATTGTCCTCTCACCCAAAATAAGATGGAAGGAAGATATCTCCTTATGTCATCGCTCAACAAAGGTTGTCAATTGTAAAGCGTCGAACATGGTCAGGGAATAATCCACCAATGAAAGGAAATTGTAATCTTCGACAATCGCTCTGACCTCCCGTGCCATCGGGGCATTTAAGAACTTCTAGTTTTACCTCATGGGTGAGCACCATCAGCGACAGTCAGTTCTGTAACAAACAAAGTAAAAAGCATCAGTTATTTTAACATATTAATAATAAATAAAGTTAAGTTCAACATAATATATACATACCTCTCCCTACCATAATTTGAATGTCACATGATCAGTATATCCAGTGAGCACAAAACGGTCACTGGGCCTTCCAGGAAACCATTCATCCATATGTGCAAACAGCTCTATCGAAGCTGGAGCAGTAACTTCTACATCAACCTAAGGAGTAACCTTCAGGAAACCTTATCTAAAAAAGGGTTGGACCCATTGTGGGTCTATTATAGGCAACCTTATCTTGCATTTGCAATAGATTGATTTCGCAACTTAAATCTATGATATTTTAGTTACACATAAGCAACTTCAATCATTAATGTTTTTTAAACAAAAGAAATGGCACAAAAAATCCTAATTAATTAAAATGTGAAAGATTAATATATTTGAGAACTTCTTGAAAATGATATGTGCGTTCATTACAAGGGTACATTTGAGACAAGATACGTACCTATGGTGCATACACAGTTTGTTACAACGAGTATTTTGCATATGCTTGTGCATATACAAGTATCTTACAACAAGTACATTAGCTTTGTCAACAGAGCAAAGTTTCACAAATAAATACCTAAATAACAAATAAAACAACAAGATCGGTCACACAAATAAGTTTCCTATAATAATAGTGTTCCGGTGTGGGCCTCACCTCGGCAGGCCCAATACCAAATACGGCCCAACAGGCGAACTAAGCACACCTGGCACACGCCCCTCCGGACGAGCAGGACCGTCCGCCGGGCACAAGCCATCACACCGCATCCCCTTTGTCGCCCGTCACACCGGACGAGCAAGACTACCCGGGCTCCCTCCGCGGGAGAATAACGTGCTCGGCGCACGTTCTCCACGTGCTCCCCTCCGCGGGGACACGTCATCGGCCAACCGCCCACCTCCGAAAGAGCAGGTCAAACCCACTTTCCGGAAACCTAGGAGCGGTTGAACTAGGGCGAAGACCATGTCCTGGTCTTCACTACGCCACGTAAGCCCTAGCAGTCATTAGGGTTGGGCCTGGTCGTCCGGCCCACCTCGAATGACCGTTGGCCCAGCGCTGGGGTCTCTCTATAAATACCCTCTTCTTCAAGAGGGTCAGGTAACTCTCTTCTTGCCCCTTTTCTGTACCATTGCTCCCTCTCTGTCCAACTGCTTACTTGGGCGTCGGAGTGCTTTGCAGGTACACCCCCCTCCTCGTTCTTACCTCGGCGAACAGATAACCGTCCAGCGAGGTGTGGCCAGTCCGTGATCCCTCCTGATCAGGTCAGATCAGTGGCGCCGTCTGTGGGAACTGAAACTTCCCCGTTACTCCGAGCAGAAAAACCAAAAGTTTCACCAAACCTCCACGGTCATGGCCAGCCCACGCCGCGATGACACTCCGCACGATCTCGCGCTCAACACTGCCACCAACGGGAAGCAGGTAGGAACGGCGCGCCTGAATGAAGCCGACGAAAGAGACGGGCAAACTGCCTCACCATCGTCCGAGGAACGGCCCCTGCATGCCGACCATCGCCCCCCGAGCCCGCCGGCATTCCACCCCGTTCCCATCCCGGCGGGAGCAGACCCAACGGTAGCCGCTCTCTTTGCAGCCATCAACCAGACGAACCAGCTGCTGTCCCAACAGAACGCTAGAATTGGAGCATTGGAACGCGGCGGCTCCCCGAGGTACCCCCAGCGGGAAGACCAGAACGGAGGTTCGAGGAGCCCCTCACCTCGACCCAGGAACCGCCGACCGCGGTTGGAGAGACGCCGCCCGCAAGCGACACGGGAGCGCACCAGATCCCCGGCAAGACACGGTCGCGGGAGGAACCAGAGCGCCGCGGCGACCCCAACCGAGGAAACCCGAGGCGGGAACTCAGGCCGGAGATCGAGAACCCGAAACCCGGGACACACCGCGATCGGCTCATCTCCCCTGAGATCCCCGGCGCACAGCGACGAGGATGACTACCGCACCCCACTATCCCGGGAGATCATGGCGGCCCCTATACCCCAAGGAATGGAGAAGCCACCGACGCTGTCAACGTACGACGGCACCTCCGACCCGGACGATCATCTGGAAGACATCGAGGCCATGCTCGACTACCGCAATGTCCGGGGAGCTATTAAATGCAGACTCTTCCCGACGACTCTGAGGAAAGGCGCTATGACCTGGTACAAAAGCCTGGAGCCCGAATCAATTACATCGTGGAGGGTCTTGAAGGACCTATTCTCCAAACACTTCACAGCGTCCCGGCGTCACCCGAAGACGGAAGCAGTCCTCGGGGCGATCATCCAAGGCCCCGACGAACCCCTCCGGAAATACATCGAAAGGTTTACGCGGGAAGCCGTACAGGTGACGACTTCCGACGAAATGAAACGCTACTTAATGGAGCAAGGCCTGCGCCATGACTCCAAATTCTACGAGGCCGTAGGCATACACCGGCCCACGTCCCTCCAAGACTTCCTCGACAGGGCCGCCCATTACATCCGGTTCGAGGAAACACAAGCGGCCAACTCCGCTCGCGACACCCGAGACAGAGAAGCCCCCCGCGGGCACCGAGACGACGGAGCTTCGAGCCACCGACGAGGAGGGGACCGCCGTCGGGATGACCGCCACCGCGAACCCCGCGAACAGCGCGAGTCACGCGGCCCGGCAGGAAGGTTCACCGAGTACACCGCCTTGGTCGCTTCCCGCGAACGCATACTGGCCGAATGCGCTAAAACCGAGTTTGTGCAGGGAGGTGTCCGTTTTCCACGACCAACGCCGCCCAAACCCAACGTGGACAAGTCAAAGTACTGCCGGTTCCACAGGACCCACGGGCATGTAACGGAAGACTGC